CCACTCATTACCCACCAACTCCACCACCCACCCATTACCCACCAACTCCACCACCCACTCATTATCCACCAACTCCACCACCTACCCATTATCCACCTACAACTCATTACCCACCAACTCCACCACCCACAACCCACTTCCCACCATCTCATGCACCCACAACCCATTACCCATCAACTCCACCACCCACAACCCACTTCCCATCAACTTATCCACCAACAACACATTACCCACCAACTCCTCCACCCACAACTCATTATCCAACAACTTATCCACCCACAACTCACTATCCACCAACTTATCCACCTACAACAATAATACATCATCCAGAGATAAATCCACCACATACAAGTCCAGTGCCAACTCATCACCCAGTAATATATTCTGAACAACCAAATTCCCCAACAACTCATTATCCAGAAATCCCTATTCATACAAGCCCGATCCCAACAATTATACCGGAAATCCATCCCCACGAAGCATCGACTCTCATTCCCCATCATCCACCTGCGGAAATAGTTAAAACTGAATCCCCCGAGGAAACGACTGAGGCGCAGGAAACTGAGGAGATTACATTAAATCCTCAAGGCGACAACGAGTTGGAATCCTCCGATGAAAATCCATCTAAAATAGTGGAATCAGAAGATTTAAAGCATCCGCCGCACATTCACGCAATCGACGTCGAATGCGCCAAAGACATGATGAAGATAAATATCGAATTTAACAGGAAATTTGACGGCATTATATACTCCAAGGGCTTTTACAGTAATTCAGATTGCCGATATGTTGCAGAGAATTCCGGAGATACTAAGTATTCGTTTACGGTCAGTTTGAATTCTTGCGGAACCGAGTTTATCAATGGTTTTGATACGGAAGGTCAATCGTATTTGGAGAACGTTTTGGTATTGCAAAATGAAGCAGGAATCCAGGAAGTTTGGGATACCATAAGAGCGGTTCGTTGTCTGTGGGAAGGAAACTTAAATAAAGCTTTGAGTGTGGCGCTTAGCGTTGGAATGTTATCTCAAGAAATTGTTACCTTCAGCGGTGACACGGCTATGGCTAAATTGGATATACAGCTTGGAAGAGGACCTTTTGCTCCTACGGCAAATGGTTTAGTGAAGATTGGCGAAGTCATGACTTTGGTAGTCTCCGTGACCGGCGATCCCGGCTTCGATTTACAAGTTAAGGATTGTCGCGCCAAAGATTCAGATAACAACAACAACATCGTCGCCCTCACCGATGATAACGGATGCGTTTTGAAGCCAAAACTGTTCGGAGCTTTCCAGAAAACTCGAAATACAGGAAATTCCGGTGCCAGTATAATGGCTTACGCATTCTTCAACGCTTTCAAATTCCCCGATGTTATGGATCTGATGATCGAGTGCAACGTTGAACTATGCAAAACGGATTGCGATGTTTGCCCAGATCCTGGCCAGAAAATCGATCCGGGAAGAAGGAAACGTGATATCGAATCCAACAATACTCTCGGTGAACCGATTACCATGGGTAGGACATTGAGAATCATCCTTCCGGAAGATTTGAGCGACGGAGAGGAAATTATTAATTTGAATCACAGGGATGTTGTATGCATGTCGATGTTTGGCTTCGTAATTGCGGCAGTTATTTTAATATTTCTTTTATTGGTCAGCACATTGTTCAGTGCATACATATGGATGAAACATCAACGTTTAATTCTCCGCAAACAGTAAATTATTTCTCATTATTTTAATAAATTATTTTACTTATATAAAATATTTTGTACCTATATTTATGTAAATAAAATATTGCATAGTTTTAATATTTATCTTATGTTTTATTTTTTACCTTCTATATGAGCTCTAAAAGTGGTAATTATATAAGTAAACTATGTTTTATCGTTACATGGCTACGCAAATAACACATTTCAAAATGAGCAAATATTCTTTAAACATTAACAAATAAAGAACTCTAAACAAAATTTTAAAAAAAAATTTCACGACCCACACATTTACAAGATTTAAGTTTATATAATCATTATTATTATTAAAACATACCATCGAAGTGGACCTTTATATATTCAGAAAATTTATATTTATTTCTCTTTCTTATTCAGAAATTTTGTACATTTTCATTTACTTATTTAATATAAGACGGAAGACTATAGTCTCTTTATCACTAACTTTGATATCGTTTAGTTGATAATTATTTTTAAATTTAAAATGAATATTTAGTACATCAATTCATTTATATTCTGATACGAAATTAATTTTTTTAAAGAATATTGTGTGTTAAATCTGACTGATAAGACTTTTACATTACTATTATAAACCTTAACAACATTAACTCTTTGAGCGGTGATAAACGTAATGTACCACCTTTTAAACATGCTGAGTAGAGCATTATTATAATTTTCTAGAAAATGTATAGGAAAGAGGAATTGCCATTTAATTTGATTGGCATTGCAAGGGAAGATTCTTGATAGGTCATACTATCCTATGTTGATTCATTTAACGAAGTTGTCTGATTCAGTTGTCTAGAAACTAGTTGAGTCTAGAAATTTGGGAGAGTTAAAGAAATTGTTATAAGGTATTAGATAATTTAGTTTCTTAAATCAAAATTGCTGATAAACATAATTTCATGATTATAGTAATATATACTAGTTGTGTATTTCTTGTAAATCTTATTCAATTATTAGATTTTTACAGATATTAAGCATCTATTCATTACATACATATTGTGTATGTAAAGTTGCCTATATATAACCTTTTGAGATAAATTTCATAATTGTTGTTAAGCTTCGTTCTTTGTAACACAATTATATGAATGATAATTCTAAATAATATAACAAATATGGCTTTACAGTCGACCAATAATTATTGTAATAAAACACAAATTTTCAATATACAATATTTTCTTTCATTTATTTTTTATTTAAAATAAAAACATTTAAAACGTAAACACTAATTAATAAAATAATAAAAAATAATACTTTAATAGAGAAAAAAGTATTGCATTAAAAAACTCTGTTAGCATGGTTTATGGTCTGTGTGTGTTGATGGATCATCAGAGAGTATCTTCTCCAGATCAAAGTTCTGAAACTTTGCCTCATTGCTGGTACTGCTTGCATGTGCCAAGAACAGCTCTTTTAAAAATCCCAGTTCCTTTGTTAAAGTTTTCACTTTCTCCTCTAAAATAGTATTCTCCCTTTTCAATTCGTTCACCCTATTCATGGTTTCCTGAGTTTTCATCTTGGATTTCACTCTGCTCTTTCTGACAGCCTACAAAAACAAAACAAAACAAGTTGTGAATCATCTTGAATAAGTGTAATCTGTTGATTGCATACATATTGCGCAATATTAATAAAATGAAGATAATCTAACCCAAGTGCAATTTTGAGTGAATATTAAAAGTGAATCTTCATAAAACATGAAGAATATGTTTCACAATAAGCCAATTGAAAACTAATAAGATTTTTGTTTATCATAAGGTAATATATGTTATTGTTTGTAAAATATAATTGTAAATTACCATGTTGTTCCGAGCCCTCTTCTTTCTATACTCTTCTGAATCATCTCCAGATTCAAGGGAATCAGCCCTAGCTTTGGCCCGCTTTGGTGGCATTTCCTGCAATAAAGCTAAACGTTTTACACACCAAAGAACCTCCTTATAAGCTACAACTAATGATGTTTACGATTAGATTTGCTAATTAGACTCAGATTATTGTAAAAATAATAAACTGTCATTTTAAGTCACAACGATAATATAAATAAAAATACCAAGAAGGCCAAGTTTGTAAAACGATCAGTGTTGCCAATGTAGATAACTGTGACTACTTTTATAATTCGGAATTACATTTGCTGTATCACGCTGTTGATGATAATAGAGATAATGCAGGTGGTCGATAGTAAAATAAATATGATGATTGAATCTGTTATCAAGTGGTTTGAAGAGATGATTGATTAGATAATTTTTTCGCTTTGAAAATAAATAATTAAATTATTACGTGAACTCTAGTAGATGTATATTTGATGTTTTTGATGGATTTGAATAGTCTTTTTGTTAACTATATGGTAATATTGGGTTTAAATGCGCACGAAGAGGGCGCTGGTAGTGCGACAGCACGAAAAAAAGGTTAACATTGATGACGTTGTTGTTGCACCGGTTGTCGATGGTTGTCAAGCATTTGAGCGATTTGGGCAGTGTTGGGGAAGCACTTGACGTTTGTAACGTCATGAGCGAATGTTTAAACTATATCAGGAATAAAATAAGCTGATAATGATGATTTCAATAACAAGTGGTATTTATACCTTAGCCTCCATCTACTATGTAATTATTCCCATTGGTTATCTGACAAAGTAAGGTAGCACTTACATAGAACATCATAAATGTGATTTAAACTTAATGTTGGCTTTTAGGTGGTGGTTTGCTGAAAAGGAAATGGCGGGAAAGGGTGTTATGTTGGTGACTGGTGGTGCAGGATATGTAGGATCTCACACGATCATCCAACTGCTGAATAATAACTATAGTGTGGTGGCAATTGATAACTTGATCAATTGCTATGCAGAGAAGAACAAGAAGCCAGAGTCTCTTAGGAGGGTCGAAGAGATCACTAACAAAAAAGTTATCTTCTATAATGTTGATATCAAAGATAGAGCAGCACTCGAAAAAGTTTTCAAAGCAGTAAGTCCATTTCTTTTTTTTTAATTCATTATTAATTTATTTAAATTATTCATTTGAAAAGTTTGCTTCAATTTAAACTCTGAATTAAAATATTAATAACCCTTGTAATTAACCAATTTGACTACAATTATTATAATTATTAATTCTAATTAATTACACATTAATCATTTAACAAAATATAATTGTACAAAGTACTGCAATTAATTTGAATGAAAATAAATAATCCAAGAAGTCAAGTAAGATTTCAAAGGGTCTCATTGACCATATTGGATTTCACATGACCTTGGCTGTGAACATCACCAGATGTTTTAAAATTAGCAGCCTCAGTTCTTGTTTCATCAAAAATTAAAGCCTAATGATTTCCTGTCCATGCATTTTCGTTTTCAATCCTGAAACTGCACATACGTTCCACACGTGGGATGTGCTTGAAATGTGAATTAGGAATGTGGGGGAGGAATAATTGGAGCGTTCGCTTCCTCTGATAAAATTTACCGCGTTGATAACGAGTTCGTTTCAAAAACAGAATACCAACGATTTTTCGGAGAAAGGAACGATCAAATGCCAATACATGTAAATTTATATGGACATCACAATTTATATCTATTATATATATATATGTTTTTTTTTTCGTCATCGGTCGATATGAATCTTCGCAATTTTTGTTTACAAGGTTAATGTCTGTATCATCGTTTTTGTATGTCACCTTTCATAATACACCATAATGCAGTGAGGCAACGCGAATATATTAATCGTTTACCATTGATCGGTTACGAAATGCTTTATTATTTACTACAAATACGGCCGTACTCCTCTCTGAGCCAATTTATTACAAAATATTACAGTAAACTTCGATTAATTTCACAAGTCTTGCCTCCATAACGTCGCTTAATGGCTTAGTCTAAATTGCATTGAATTCTTCGTTGCTTCAAATTGAAAACTTTAAATGACGTAACAACAATTTAAACAACGTGTCTACCATAAAATATGTTTTTTTGTCGTTAATTTCAGTTTACGATTTTTTCTTTGCTAAAACTATTAATTTTCAAAGATTATTATTGAAATAGTTGCACGGTCGCATTCTTAGGAAACTATTACCATATTTCTGATAACATTATTTTTTTTCATTTTTAATATCAAGTTTTCTTTTACATATTTTACTATTTGTTCAATGTTACTTATCGTTTCTTATCATCTTAAAATTTGCGGTATTTAAAATAATTTAAATACGTACGTTTTATTTTATTTTCTAATATTCACGTACAGTGAATAAATATCGGGCTTGAATTCAGAATTGGCGTTTATAGCGGATATCGAGTTTCTGTCTCGTTTCTCGTATTATTCATGTTTATTAGTAATCGCATCCTCATTCATACACCGTTTTCATATATTTTTGCGCGTAATTCTTGCGCTGGAATTTCCCGGTCATCGATTTTGTGGAAGTATATATGTATATAATTAAATACCGATTACTGAATTTTCCCTGAATGCAGTTAGGGTCTTGGCAGATTGCCTACGATTTTTGCATCGGATTCCATAAGGCGAAGAAACGTACACTTGAAAAGAAGTATAAAAAAGAGTCAAACGGGAATTTCATGGAAGCCTCATTATGTGGCGGGTTATTGAACAATGATGACCTTCATTCGCATACGAAACTCGTGTTATTTTTTTTTGTACGACGAAGGATGTACAGAAATGTAGCATCACAGAATCAATTGTTAAAACCGAATACGATTATTAGAAAAAAAAATATTTTCTTTAGAATATCAACATTAATATTTTAAAGTAAAACACATGTTTTTAATTAAAGGAAATTTTTTTAAAAATAGCTGAAATTTTGGTATTATGGTGATCCGTTTCGGTTCTGCGTCTTCAACATTCACGACAGCATTCCTATACCATCATGAACTGTGAGCTTCTTGTTTTAGAGCCTAATAGTTACAGCGTACATCCTCCAGTCATATTCTAAAACAAGTGCAATCATTCCTGTTGCTATGACAAGAAAGACGTGGGAAGAATAGATGCATTCCTATTTTATGATAAAAACTATTCTATATAGCTTTTACACTATTCGGATTATTTTGTTTCTTAGTTGCATTTAAATAGCAAAAATAACAATTATTAGGGCGGAAAAATGTTTGATTATTTAATTTACTTTTCAAAATTCATAAACATAATTATCTAATATCAAAGTTTAATTAGTAATTATTAGTCAATTGCGAATTATAAGAGCACGTACAATTTTACGTATAAAAAAAATTCAATAAACTTCCTTTTATTTTTTTTATGCACAATAAATGCGTGAAGGATATTTTCAATTAATTTCAGTGTCGTTCAGTATTCGTTGCATATTTATCATTTTGTATAAAAAATACTACAATCTGCTACTGCTCGTGACTTTTATAATCTAATATAATTTGTTTATTTTACAGCAATTCTGCAGTAAAGCGCAGAAATTACGTATATTAATAGTATTAGCAAGGAGATTAATTTCAGAAAATCAGTATAATTTTACGTATTATTTTTCAGTCGTTGCATTTTAAACTAAAAGTTCTTTTTTTTTTCAATAATATAACAAGAAACCATTTTTTTATATAAGAATTATTATTATTTTCAATAAAAATAATATTAACAATTGGATATAGGATAGAAAATGCAGGAATAATATAGAAATTTGTTTCAATTAAAAATTACTAATAATATGAACTATGTATAAATTACAAAGTAAGGAAACATAAACAGTTTATAAATGTGATAACCGAATAAAATAACTGTTTATAAGTCGTGGCATTAATGTAGATAAAATGTGATTTGCTTGCATATCTCTTCTGTAAACATACTTAATATGACTGGATTGCAAAATTAGTTCAGAAATAGATTATTATGTCCTAATTAATTACAGTGGAACCTCGCTTAACGAGAACCTCACATTACGGGCATTTCGCATAACGAGCAAAATGAATTGTAAGAAAAATGACTCGCTTAACGTACGATGTTTCGTACGAGTGACGATGAGAAGAGAAGGATTGCGTGCCTACTACATCATTTTTAAAACTTGTGTACACATATGTGTATTTTTGAATATGTTTCACTATACGAGTATTTCACTACACGAGTAAAAATCCTGAAATTTTGGAACGGATTAAACTCGTTAAGCGAATTTCCACTGAACTTAGTTTTTGTCAAAGTTTGATACTATATATGAACTCCAAAAAGGATCCGCTCTCACTACTGAACGTAGTAACAACATCTATTTTATTGCCGTCTGCTTTTCTGCATGAACTCATTAAGTAATATACAAATATTTGGATAGTAGTCTAAAAATACTATACTTATTTGTATTAGCTAGCCTACTTTCGTTTGATAAATCGACTTATGTAAAGCAATATTTGTATTTTATAATTTCATATTAATAGTAATATTTATATAGATGTTTTTTATCAGTACTTGTCAATATTGTCACAGACATTCAAGGTTTTTTTTACAATAATGGTATTTGCGAATAATTATAGTTCATCTAAATACAATAGAATTTCCATGAAATACATAGACTGAGTTGTTGATAATAATGATAATAGTATATAAAAGAAAGCATTGAATTTTTGTAACAGTACGAATCCTATATTTTTTATTTATTTAAATTAAGGCACTTTTCTATTAATAATTGATTAATAAAATAATTGTTCATAGCAGATACAGTGTGAATTTCTACTAATAACGGATTTGTTATTAATATTTTCAGCATAAATTTGACTGTGTTATTCACTTTGCAGCACTGAAAGCCGTGGGTGAATCAGTGCAAATACCATTGACATATTATCAGAACAATATTGCTGGATCTAGCACTCTGTTCGAGGTGAGTAAGAGATATGATTAAAACTCGACGATTGTTGCTAATTACATGATTTTTATCCATCAGGTTATGCGAGACAACAATGTGAAAAACATCGTTTTCTCGTCATCAGCCACGGTCTACGGCATTCCGCAGTTTCTTCCTCTCACCGAGGAACATCCGACGGGTCAAGGGTGCACAAATCCCTACGGCAAAACAAAATATTTCGTAGAAGAGATCCTTAAGGACGTATGCACATCCGATCCGGTAAATCCTTAATGTCCATAGAATGAATAGAATTGATCTTTACTTTCTAATTGATCTCAACAGGAATGGAAAGTTATTTTGCTGAGGTATTTTAATCCGGTCGGGGCTCATGAATCAGGCATGATCGGAGAAGATCCATCAGGAATTCCGAATAATCTAATGCCGTACATATCTCAGGTACTTTAAAGCAATTTGCTAGAGAAAATTAATTGTTAACGTTTTGCATTTCTCTGCAGGTTGCAGTTGGTCGACGAGAAAAACTGTTGATATACGGCGACGATTATGATACACCTGATGGAACAGGTGTCCGCGATTACATTCACATTACAGATTTGGCCATAGGTCACGTGAACGCTTTGAACAAAATCAATGAGTCCGGCTTCAAGGGTTGCAGGGCGTACAACCTGGGAACTGGAAAGGGATACTCGGTCATGGACATGGTGCAGGCATTTTCTAAAGTTTCAGGGAAGGATATAAAATACGAAGTTGTGGGTAGGAGGGAGGGTGACGTTGCCTCGAGCTATGCGGACGCCCAATTGGCAAGGGATGAACTGAATTGGGTCGCCACCAAGGGCATTCTTGATATGTGCCGCGACACCTGGAAATGGCAGGTGAAAAATCCCAAAGGGTTCCAAGGTACTTAATGGACTCGGAACGCAATAATGATGCACTCTATTTTCGATTATAATACTTTCTCTTCGTGTATTTATTGTTCCTATTTTAAATAGGTCGATTTTGAATTTCGATATAATAAATTTTATTTATTCCAATCATAATTATTTTATCTGAATACGTATAGTGTATGTGTGTAAGTTCGTTAGTTTCAAGAGGCCCAGTGTATAATTTGATATGTACAAAATAATTAATAAAAGTATTAAACATTTTTGTTTTCACATCATTTATATATATTATATATGTCAACACTCAAAAGCTAAAACGTAGATTCCAAAAAAAATACAGTTATTCATTAATATTCAAATTTAATCGAACAGCGGAAATCTTTCTTCGCAGAAAGTAAAAGTAGTTATTATGCTAGAAAATACACCTATTAATGACTTTTTCAATGGTAAAAAATATTTTGTGTCCACTATTTTAATTATTGTGTTATTATTTAAAAAAAATATCATTGAATGATTAATGCTAGTATATCATATCGAGATATTTATAAAATAGAAAAGTTACGTGGTTTTTCATATGAATTAAAAATATATATAAATTATTCTATTTCATATAATTTAAGACTACACTGGTAATCAAAAGAAATGTTAAAATAAAAAGAACATTTGCTTAACTTTCATCCCTGGAGACTATTTAAAGAGTAATAAGTGAGGGAAAGTTGGTATCAAATTCAATTACAGCAACTACACAAAGATTTACATTCATAGCGTTTCAATAGACTTCATTAGGTCTTGTTTTACTAAAGACTTTAGTTTTTGTAATATATTTCTACAATGTGAACTTTGTAATCGGATTACAATCTTTCATTAAAAACGACATCTTCGACGTTATTCTGTAAATTAAGAAATCAGATCATTATTTTGGACTCATTTTAACTTAATTTTGCAAATACAATGGAACCTCGCTTAACGAGCACCTCATATAACAAGCATTTCGCTTAACGAGCAAAATCAATTGCAAGAAAAATGACTCGCAAAATTATATGCTCTATTATAGTATATTACATTAGTTTATATGGGGAAAATTGTATCACTATAAGAGTAAAAATCCTGAAATTTTGAAACAGATTATGCCCGTTAACCGAAGTTCTATTGTATGTGAATACCTAAATTTAATATATTCATAAAAAATATCATTTCAAAACTTTGTATTACATTACTTTCTAAAAGTTATAACTCGATTATAATGTTTTATAGGAACATTACTCGTAAAATTTTAATAAAAACTTTGTAAAATTCTTAATGGCATTATTCAATTATTATATTCACATTAATTCACCAGCGACAAATCCTTTACTATTTTTAAAAAATATGAATTATGTTGTTTTATTTATAGTTCATTTTCTATTAATAATAATAAAAACACGTACATCTAAAGCATTTTATTTTTGCACACGTAGATTGAATACATTAAGATACAAGAATACTTTAGACACATTGCTTATATAGTAACAGCTAGAAGCTTTCTATGACTAGAATACCATGTAACTCTTATACAATATAGACTATAAAATTCTCAAATAAGCATTAAAACTAATATAAATAAATACATTTTGATAAAATTCATAAATATATATACAACGAAATATACAGTTTTAACTTAATTATAATAATTGAGTCTTCTAATTTGGACCACGAGACAACAACGCAGTTTTAGAGATTTTATCCTTACACGAGTCTTGATATGAATCGTTAAGATTGAATATTGTATGCTAGTATTAAAGTAAAAAGGGGTACAGTGAGCTACATTCAGTTAAATATGTTATTTCTTACATCAAGTCTTATCCTTAACTAATTCACATCAATTCCTTAAGTCTAAACATGAAACTACTACAGTCCTCCATTATATGAAATAGCGGGACTGTGTCTACAGCATCCAATTAACGGAACTTTATAATGATTTCAAATTAACAATTCAGAGTAAATAAAGTTTTTTTTTTAAATATTTTATATATGTTTACAATAGTTTGCATAGATTAATTTAAAGTTCCACTTTAGCATGACAAATGTATTATCCCCAGCTGCCAAACTTTACCAACTTATCACAAATTCTTATATGTAAAAATATAACAACATAAAATATATTTTATTTTCATAAATTTATTTGATCTCAAGCACCTTAAAATCACTTTGTCATGCAAAAATGGAAATATTAAAAGATTGAAAAAGGTGCTTTTTCATAAACGAGTTAAAAAATATTTGAAACTAATAGTATACATTTACAATAGATTAATGCTCATAATATAAAATATATATATGTATTATATAAGAAATAAAGAATATATATCTATATATCAGTCAATTAATTAAACAAGTTTTGGAGCTTACCACATTCCTTTAATAATAATCTTTCGAGATTCCTGCCTCGATTCCTCCTTATGAATCATCCAAGAGTATAAATCGGCGTCGTGATCTGCTTATTACGAATGGTGATAGCCTTTCTGAGATCATCAGTCACAGATCGCGGTAAATCAAGTGCACTTACTTCTTCTGGTGTCTTAAAGTAATTCCTCAAAATCAACAAGGATTGGAACCTCAAGCTGTAAAGTGGTGTAGTGATACAGCAAATCTTCCTCTTCTCTCGATCGACAACTGGTTCCCTCAAGTTTGATTTTAATTTCATGATTTCCTGTGTGGGCCTCGGCATGTAAATGTATTGCTTGCAGATGTGCATTCTGTCTTTGGTGTGTATCTCCAGAGCCAGCCAGGGGTGAGTGGTAAATGTATTCACATCTACATATTCACCCCTGCGCAGCAGTTTGTATCTGATGTAGCTGCCAAAGAAGTTAACCCACACCAGCTCAATGGTGCATTTGGTTAAATTTATGAAGCGCAAGTAGACCTTCTGGTCAGATCTTAAGGACCTGATGGCATCTCTTTTGACTTCACCCTGTGGATCCTCCTAGAAAAGTTAAAGTTCATTAATCATTCAAGAAACTATCATAGCTTTATCATGGTTTGTTGTAATTAATATTGAGAATTGAAAACAATACTCAGTTAACGCGTCAGTTTGACATTTTAGACGTCAAAAAATGTTGTGTTTTTAACCAAGAAGAGGAATTACATAGAAGGTGTAAATAGTTCGTGTTCTAGTGAAGATCTTGAATTGAAAAACAAAGAAAGTCGTAGAAGCATCGACCGATCAATATGGCAATTTGTGTTGCAATCATTGGAAAGGACGTAAGTTAAAGAGATAGTAAAAAGAAATAACCTACCGCCATTGTGCAAAATCTGCTCTATTATTCCAATGATTATTCTTAAAACCCTTGAACTCTTCGACTGAATTCGAACGATATCTTCGATTTTGGCTCCTTGGCAAATACGTACTTCGAAAATACTAATAAATGGCAAGTATTGCTATTCCTCCAAGCGGACGGCCATTAATTAAAAGACGCTCTCTGTGTTGACGCGCTGTACTACGTGACTACACCAATGTGCACCAATGTCTGCCATCCCTTGAATGCACTTCAACCTACTTTCTGGACTATGCAATTTATGCTAAGTACAGACGTTACACGTCTCATACTAATGATCGTATTGCCGTTTAAATGAATTTTTATTCATTTGCATTCTTCATTAATGAATAACGAACATTTCAGCGTATTTCTTTTCGTTGTCCTTCACAATTATGGAGTACAATCAATACTTGTTGACATCGTTTACATTGCGCTGAAGCAGGAACAACCTGATATAATATTTTTGTGGGGTAGTCCTAAAATTACATTTCCATTTTTTTTTCAAAGCTTTATGTTATAGTAGGTCACGTTCCTGGTATTACTCTAATGAGAAAAGGGTCAATTATGTATTTGTATACTATATAAATTCTGAATTAAATATGTATAATAGAGGATGTTTGCAATATCAATAACAAATGTTTCATCAATCTCTTATTTAGTTCAAATTTTAAAACTATTATATTATAGCTCTGTTTTGGATTATTGTAATTCATCCTTAAATTTTAATTGTGTATTTTTTATTGATGTATTTAATCATATATTTACAATATTTTAAGTTAGTTGTATAAATCAGTGATTCTCACTCCCCAGGGGGGTCGCGTAAAATATTTGGGGGTTTTAAAAAATTAATGAATGATAAATCCTGGTTGTTTTTCTACACATACCTATTCTTCGGGGGGTTGCTAAAACTGTTTATGTCCAAAAGGGGGTTGCGGACCAAAAAGTTTGAGAATCACTTTGAGCGACTTTTGAACTTAAGTTTAGAAAAGGTTTAGAAACGCTGTTCTAGATTACATAATATAAGCAAATGAAATTGAAAGTAAATATTTTTGAAATTTTGTTGATTGCATTTTAATGTATATATGTATGTACAATAACTTTCATTTTTAGAATTCCCCCAAGTACTTTGCCTGTTCGAATCCGGACGATGAAATTAATCTTCAATATAAAGTGCTTTCATCGTTGGATGTGATCGAGGAGAAACTGAATACGGCTAATAAAGTGACCGATTTCAGGGAATTGTTTTTGGGAACTCTGTATTCATTGGAAAGCCACAAAATGTAAATTTTGATTGTACAATTTCAAGCAAATCAATGCATATTTTTCTTTCAACTTTTTTTTAGATATGGATATGTGACTAATACTAAAATCAAATTCATAATCGTCGTTGATTCCACGAACACAGCTTTGCGCGATAACGAGATCCGCTCGGTATGCATAAATAATCCCCTGTATATGTATATTACGCTCAATGTCGTAATATTTTTTTGTTGTTGCTTTCAGATGTTCAGGAAAATCCATAGCATATACGCCGACAATATCTGTAATCCATTCCATATTCCAGGGGAGCCAATTACTTCCAAGTATGTAAAATAAGCCAATTTCGTTGTGAGTTTAGGTTTTAAATACTGCCGCATCGGTATACTTCAAAGAAGTATATAAAAAAAAGAGTTGCACTTTCTCTTCATGGAGTTGGCATTATGAAGTACGGATTGTAATTGATTGTGCCAAAAATGTACCAAATATTCAAATACTATACACTTGCAACTACAATAATACTCGCACTATGCGAGGTATAGTGGAACCTCGCTTAACGAGCAAGAAAAATGACTCGCTTAACAACCAACGTTTCGCATAACGAGTGAGGATGAGAAGAGAAGTCCCGGATTGCGGCAATCGACATAATTTTTAAAACTTGTGTACACATATTATGTATTTTTTTAAATATATTTCACTATACGATTAAAAATCCGGACATTTTGGAACAGATTAAACTCGTTAAGCGAGGTTCCACTGTATTGTTGTAGTTACAAGTATATAGTAATATTAGAAACCGGTCTAATCGAGGACAACATAATTTTGTGTACTAATTTTATAAGATTTATTTGAGATTTGCCGACTATATTAATGTATTGTTTTATATTCCAGGTCTTTCCATGATAAGGCCACCAGTATTATGTTTGGAACTGTTTGATTTCTGATGGAGTAATAAGGGTTAACAGTTTATTACACGATGTAATTTTAAATGTAATCTGAAATAAAATAAGATATAAGAACAAACAAGATATGTGTGTATTTATTTTTCAATAGGAAAAAAGTGGAAAAATAAGTATTTTATACATTTTAGCATAAAACTTCATAGTTTTAAACTAGAAATTATTATTTTTTGACAAGACTACAATTTTATAAGAACAGTTTTTCATGGATATATAAGTTAGTTAAGACAAGTTAGATTAGAACAATATGACTTAAAAATATAACAAAATATAAAGAATAATAAAATAAATCTTAACTGCACAGAAATTAACTGACTCGAAGCAATTTAATTTATTTAAATTTATAATGAATCCGGTTAATTATCAAATTAATAGTTATTTATAGAAAAAATTCAGCCCTTATACCGTATTTTTCGGACTATAAAAAGCACACGTCGCTAAGACGCACCTCAAATTACGAGACGATTTATTGAAAAAAATATTTTAATGTTACCTTCAGCGCACCCAAAATTTGAATCCATTTTCCTAAGTGCAAACGGAATGTTTTCTTGTCTTTACTTAGCAGTTTTAATTGTTCCTCTTGTTTTCTCCACTCTCGAAACATTTTCTTTGTTGGTGTTGAAACAAAATGTCTTTCTGCTGCTCTGTTTCCATATTGTTCTGCATAATTGATCATATTTAGTTTGTACCTCACGTTTTGAAAGTAATTTTATTTTCAAATTTAGAGAAGAACCCAAAATTTCATTCCATTTTTCTATGTAAAAAGGTGTGTCTTATAGTCCGAAAAATACGGTAGTTAATTTGTAGAAAATGTGAATTTCCGTCACATGAAACAAGGTTTTGGTTAGTTATGTATTATATAGATAGTTTATAAAGAAGTCATGTTTATCATTTTACAGTAAACTTTGTATTAAGTTTTTTTTTTATTATTTGAAATTAAACATTAAGTTATTCGTTTGCAGAATTTATTAATGTTAATTTGGTTGCATACATCAATAAAATGTTCTTGAAATATATCAATTTTCAAATAAATACAGTGGAACCTCGCTTAACGAGCACCTCGCATAACGAACATTTCGCAAAATAAATTGTAATAAAAATGACTCGCTTAACGAGCGACGTTTCGCATAACGTGTGACGATTGGAATAGAAGTCCCGGATTGCGAGCCTGCTACATCATTTTTAAAACTTATTTACAACATATTATGTCTGTTTTTGAAAATGTTTCAGTTTTAATAATAATTTGAATGTTTATTGTTTATATAAATGATATTATATTTATATTTATTGGTATTATTGTGAATTTCAGTAATGTAAAATGTATATAAATATGTATTATTTCATTTCTGAATGAAACTGTAACATAAGTTGTATTTATAATAAGATGTTAGCTAGTTATTATTTTATTTTAAAAAAATAATAATAATACTAATATGTTTATGTTAAATATACCATATGAATAATAGATGAAAAAGTTTAGAATCTAGAAATATATTTTTTATTAGGTTTTAATAAACCTTGGATATACATAATATTAAGTCGATACTTATAACGCAAAACAGATATAAAAACTGGATTAAAAAACACTAAATTTTAGTAAAATATTCTTTTAATTGCGGAGGCAGTAACTTCTGGGCTAGGCCTCCTCACACTAGTTGTTATTTATTGCCTCTATACAGGGTGTGCCAAATTACTTCGGGCTGTTCGAAATTGATCAAAAGAGAAACCTGGTAAATTGCACAGCAATAGCATTCTGGGAATAAACATTTCCATACACGAACAATAATATTATAAACACAATTTCCTTGTTTGAAATGCTACAAAACAGTAATATTCTGTTAAAAATACATCATCAATTAACTGTAATTAGTGTACAACCAAAAAAAACATATTTTTTACTCAGCGTCAGCAAATTAATTTTCGTACATGAGTTGAATATCTTTGTTATATTGGATCAACAATATTGCACATATTGCGTTCCTAGGCACCCAGGCGTATAGGATTACTTGCAAAGAGGGGAAAGCGTTTCGTCATTCGAAACTAACACAAGTAAAAGATATTATAGCTTATAAAATGCCTGAAAACTGTAAGACGTTTGCTACACAGTTGTTTAGCAGATATCACCTGTTTTTTGTGCCAAAAACAGCGTTGTATTATGTAAATGTCAGCAATTAAATAGCACACGTAATTTTTGCTAGTGGGAGGTTATTAAAATAGAAAATGAAGCGGCGTGAATGAGATATCCTTTAAATTCAAGAATCTTTTTTCTTTTATTAATATTTTTTATTGCTCAACGTTTATTTTATATTTAGATGAATCTCGTCATATCACCTGTAAAATAATACTTCATAATAACAAAATAGAAACGCCAAAATATTTTATTATAGGAGTATTACAAATAAATGTATTAATTTTTTCTAAATTAAACTGGAACAACTGGAAAAAGTAAAACTTTTATATATTTTATCATGATCTTATGATGTATCTGTTTTTATATAACATTAATTAATGATCGAGATATGTTGATTTCACGTTAAATTAAATTATAATCATGCATGTTAAATATTCAAATGAAAGATAAAACTATAGCCTTTACTCTATGACTGAGAGGTAATCCATATAATGCCTAGGTTTGCAAATTATGCACTAACATATTTAAGCAATATACAATTAAGTCAACATACTTCAGTTTTATTCTTGAATTTGTGATGCCCAAAATAAAAGAAAATTTACATGTGTTTACGATTTTGAGTCTATTTCAGAAATGTCTTGTTATTGCGTCGAGTCACTTGTAAAATCGGGAATCGCGTCTTTAACTGATTTTTCGTTATTTACACAAATAAAAAGAAAATAATATTGTAAAACTAATCGATTAAATTGAAATATAAATAATTTGAAATACACCTTTCACAAAAACTGCGTTGCATTTATTTTTTTATAAATATATTTAAATAAAAAAAATAATAAATATATAAAGTATTTACATTTTCTTATAATAAAGATTATTCTTATTTCCTTTTTCTTTTTAGTTTGTGCATGACTTTTTCGCGGCATTGAGAGGAAAATAAATTGCAGCAAGTTCGGAATCGATTGATATTTACGCCAGCTTCATATATATTAACTATGTGAATTATATAAGGAATTCGTACAATGAATTTTGCCGCATTTTATGACGGTTTTTATCATATTTTATATAGAAACAATTCGTAATTAAAATTGAGTTCGGTACGGCTTTTGCACTGTGCTGGGTTATGTGTTCTCCTGCATGCAACAACAGCGGCGCACAACAAAAATAAGAAAACTTTTGTATCTAGAGATTACGGAAAAAAACATCTAGTTGTTTATTTGGTAAGTTTATTAATATTTCAATTGTTTGTGTCATATTCAGATACATTTTTATTGATCAAAGTAGTTATATGATCATTTCATGAATTAAAGTTGAAACCTCATTATATTAATTTATATAATAAGATTACATTCTTTGCAGATGTTTTAAGTTAATTTGTCATTTTTTTCTATTGTTGGTATACTAAATCAAGTTTTCTTGCCAGTATAAATTGTTTTTTATTTACATGATTTCCTTTACAATCGTAAAATCCTATTTTATTATACTAGTGTTAAATGTTGTTGTACATGCTAAATATATAGGATATATACAAATATTTTAATTAAAACTTTAATTTATGTACTTCAAACTCAGGTATATACAAATTATTTGATTTTAATTTTATGATTGCAATAAGGCAAATTTCATATATGTAAGTTTTTCAATAAAATATACATGAAAATTATCATTTTCTGAACTTCAAATGATATTTAGTAATAATAGTAATAAATATATCTATTTTTGCTGACATAATTGAGATAGAAAAGACTAAAGAGATATTATTTACTGATAGGTTATTGGTAGTTAATTCGACCAATAAGTTTGTAAAAATTATACTTGAATCAGTTTTTAATATACATTAATAAATGACTCTAAAGTAATTACTACTTGAAGATAAAATGTTTTGTAGTAGAAATTGGGGAGATATTCGATCACAAAATTTAAACTTTAGTTTTAGTAAAGTGATAATACATAATATTAATATGGTTTCTTTCATCTGTATAGTATTGAAACTTTAAGTTCAGTTACTCATCTATAGTCCATCAGGTAGGATGAGCGATATTTATCTTTTCTTATACGTTCATTGTCTAATATTTTGTTAAAAAGTTTAATAATTAAATTATATCATAGTTTAGTAAATACATTGTCATTATTAATAAAGCTTCCAATGAGAGAGAAATCATGACAAAACAAATATAAAAATAATTATTTAAAAAAATGGTTTCAGTTTATTATAAATTAAAACTTAATAATAATTTAAAATTATGGAAGTTGAGAAAGCAATAATATAATAGTATAATAAAGTAATATTTTTTGAAAAAGTAATTGATTATAAACTTTAATTATTTATTGAATGAAATAATGAGTAATTTATTTAGTTAATTTTAAAGTAAAAATTGTTTCCTGCTCAAAATTGCTATTAATTTAAATGTAATTATGTAAGTAAATGATAAAAATATGTAATTAAAGTGTTTTTCTTAAATAATTTCAGATTATAAACTAAAAAGCAGTTAATTAAAGATAAATTAAATCAATCAAGATTTGCACAAAACTTTATTAATTATAATGAGAATAATTTTTAATGAAGTCAATATATAAATAAGTCTGAGATAACAAAAACTATAAATATTCTTGGTATTTTAATAAATAATTTACAAATAATGTAAGCAATGATAATAAAAAAAAAACAATAATGGTTTGTTAAATTAGTAGTTTCAGTTGATTGTAAACGATAGAAATACCGTTTTATTGGTGACGAGTGAAGCGATGAGTTCTTTAAGCAATTATTTTATCTTTGGTTACAGTTGTTGCTATTATTTCAATGGCGATGGTTCATGAGAATACCGAGTAACTGTTTTTATATTTTTTAATTAAACGTTGATTGCTTTAGCGCATCTTGTGAGCGTCGGAATGCAAGTAAATAAATTTCGCGAGCTCTAATCAAATTACGATGTACCATTATTATATAATCGTCTCTTCTTCCTTCAGTTTCATCTCATCTCTTCTATTTTTATTTTTCAGTTTCCTTTTTGCCGCACGATCTACGAAGGGGTGATAAAATGCAGTGAATTAAAGTGCGAGTGTGTGTGTGTGCATGTGTACGTACGTGTGTTCTTCGTAGTCTGCATGGAAATCGTGGTCGGTCGTGGGACCGCAGTGAGCATGATCGAGAGGTTCACTCATCCAGAAATATTTGTCAATCTGTCTTATCCCAAACTTGACAGTAAGCTCTTCTTACATCTGCGTTTAGTCTAGTTAGAACCGGTGAACAAACCACCCGCGCCTCTCGCTCTCGCAATTTGCCATCCCGATCCGAACCAGAGCATGTCAACTGGTGGTAGCGGAGGTGGCGGAGGAGGCGGCATCGGTGGCGGTGGGCTTTACGAAAACTTGCAATTAACTTTCAGCGGAAGACCGGTGGAAGTGCGCCAGTTTCTCCAGAGCGACGCGCGTAAACGCAAAAGCACATCAGAAGTTTCCGGAATGTCTCACATCAAGTCGAAGACAGCGTCCAGGAGCGTCTCGGACCTGAAACTGGAGGATGAAGCCGGTGGAGATCAGAAGGAGGTGGTAGCAGAGGACAGCATGCTCAAAGATGACTCCTCCGGAAGCGTAGAGACGCTTCTTGCGGAAGACGGAAAAGCAGCGAAGATGCTGTTCGCAGATGAAAACGAAAAGGTTCCTAAACAGTATTCGGCAACGGGACTTGACGATGGCTACGAATCCTGCAACAGCACTCCTCACGGATCAGGTATTAACACATAAAATTATAACATATAAAACTAAGTAAAACAATCATGATTCGCAAATCACAAAATTTTTACATTTAAAACTAAGCAAAGAAATGATTCTTGTTTCTACTTACCCACATAGACAACGCAAATAATAGCTTGCTCAACGAAAATAACGCGACGTATCTTCTCAGAAAATGTAATTGGAAATCATAAAATTGCAAATATTTGTTATCCGTGATAATTTAATCTCATAATATTTACATCAAACAGCGCAACAAATACAGATATATAAAGCAACCTATTCAATTTATTTTAAGAATGCAGTGAAAATAAACACACAATTTCCGTATATTTTATTATATATGCAATATTAAGTAATGCAATTTCATTTGTTGTAAATAAAAGTAAAATCGATCATATAACAATATTTTTTTCATTGACTTAATTAATTATAAATTGAAATTAATTAAGATAAAAATATTTATCGTATTTTCAAAATTGTAAGCAAGATTCTTCCTAATAAATAAGTAATTGACAATATTGGATCTCCTTCATAAAAATCATAAACTTATGAACATTAACAGCAATATTTTAATTTTTGGAGAAATTCCATAGAGAAAAGTCTTTAGATTTCATTGTAAAAAATCATGATTATCCACATTTTATTCAACAACAATAATAAAAAAAAAACATCAAAAAAAATGATTGAGTATAAGCCTTTCTGTTCTATTTAATCAATAATTAATGAATTCGATTATTTATACTTCAAAAGGTTTTTTTCTGTATTTCTAAATATGCACTAATTATGTTTATTTTTTCTTATAAATCTATACTTTATACATTTTTTGGTATTGAATACAAATAAAAATATTTGACAAAAAATAAATATAAGAATATTTAGTTAATTTTTGGTAAACGTTAGAAAATACATTTATGATTAAATTACTAGTTATCAGTATGAAAGTGTCTATTAAAATTTTATTTTTAATAATTTAGTAATTCTAAAGCCTATCAGCCTATCACTTAAAAAATATAAGATTATTAAAGAACATACTAATACATATTGTATCTCTAAAAACTCAATAAAGAAATATTAATAATCTAATTATTTTTATAATAATATCATTTATATATCAATTAATATGATATACGTGCATATTTTCAACTTTAATTTAAAAAAGGTTTACAAATAGTTTCAGTAAGAATTACTTACGAATATTCATACTTTAACTGTTTATAATCTTTTTTGATTTCAAGTTGGTGGCAATTAATTGTTCTGACACATCTACAGTAATAATGATAAACTGATAATACTTAATGCTAGTTTTAAACATAACAGGAATTATTTTGAAGTAAATAAGTTCTAAGTTTTATAAATTATAATGTTTAATGATTTTGAAGATGATTTTTCTTGACAAAGTGTTTGAAATATTGTGATTCAAATTATGTGTAAAATATTTGCTTTTAGTACTGCAACCCTGGTAAAACAATTAGTTTAAGGTCGATCTATTGATTCGTTATTGCGCTCTTCACTCTTCATTCAATTTGCTCTTCAGAAGGTGAACACTTTAGCATCCGGAAACACATATACGCGCGAATTAAATGTATGATGTACGCGCCCGTCAGTTCGATTTATTTTATTCCACGTTCGATCAAGGTTAATTATCCCCAAAATATCTAATCTTAGAATCACAGTTCTTCAAATATACAGGTTTTAATGTATGTTTTCTCTAATAACCGGTTTTGCTTCTCAAGTGATCAATCATATAATTCTTTTCGAACAGTTAATAATTTTTAGTACGGTCAAAATTAATTAATTTTATTTCATGCATTGATTTTTTTTTAAATCGAGGGGAATTCTCATAGAGCCGAAAGTTATCCTAGAAAGTAGTTTGCTCATCTATCTATTGTAAATATAAGTATACGAAGAAAAAGAAAAATTTTCAGTTATCGATTTCAGAACCATTAGATTGATTGTATTTCTTTTGCAAGCATCTCCGTTATTTTCTTCAGATTTTCATTGCAGCTTAAATAGTATTAAAGCAAGAAAATAAATATATCAATGGAATTAGAAAACCGTACAGTTAAAATCGGAAATACAAGTATTATTTTCTATCTTAATCCGAATTATAAGGAATCTTCTGTAAGTTAAATTATTTTCTTAAATATAAAAGCAATACTTTGCATAGTGCAGGTAATCGGTTTCGCTAATATACTGGACTAATCGAGAAATTATATACGATACAAAAAAAGGAGCACAAATCGAGACATGACTGTATAAAATTTAGTTTATTTTGATTTTTTTTTAAACTGAACTATAGTGAATTATTTATTTTTAAATTATTATTCATAATGACAAGATAAACAGATAATTGTATAATTAAGAGTTAAATCCCAGAAAAGTATATAGAAATAAATAAAATATACTTTTTAATTATAAAATTTTCTTAGTTGAATATTTTTTTCTATTAAAACGTACCCAAATGTTAATTAATGAAGTATATTTAATGATACAAATAATAGGTGACATTATTACAAGGAAACTATAGAATTATTATCAATTTAAACTAAGAACTTAACATCTGGATTACAAAATAAAATAGCAATACAGCTGTAAATAAGTTGTAAATTGGTCATTAAAATGAATAAATGTTTATGTTAATATATCTAATTTAAAGTTATATATAATAAAGATAAGGAAGTAGAGGAATAAATTAATTAGTGGAATATGTTATTATTATTGAAAGAGATTTAGATTATTTTACATAAAATACTAATGAATAGAACGTTGGATGTTGTGCATCGTACACTTAATGTTTGACATCTTGACATCATGTCTCGTGGATAGTACTTGAAGAGAGACGATTTCCTTGAGAGTAACAAGTCTTAACACCACAAATATTCACACACTGCATTAAATTGAAAGATCTCGTAGTTGATGGTTAATTACGGAGAATTTCCCATGTAAATAGATACACATAACTACTATTAATAATATCTCTTGTTTATAATCTACAAGACTATCAACCTAATTTTACAGAATAATAATTGGAAATTCTATATTATTTCTTTGCTTTATAAACATGGGATTAATTAAGATAATAATAATGTATATTAAAGCACATCATTGCTTTAGGATAAGCTTTAAGATACTGATCGTAATGAGCTGCAGTTGTTACATAAATTCGATAAATATTGACTGGCACATAATCGAGTTTATCGTGGATCAGTCATAAATCTCTCGAACTATTCAAGATAGGCGGAAACGGCTTGTAATTGGAATTCTCATTTATATTTTCTTTTTGTTGAGACGTCAATTTAAAATGAAATGCTTCACAAAAAGAAAGCATACACTCTGATTGGATTTTTAATTACTTTTTCCTTAAAAATCGCACTCTTGAGTTTCCCTTATTCTCAATACGTAAATCGCAAATCGAGTATTTGTGTCAAAAACGTTGGATTAAAAAATTAGTAAAATTATATGTATTTATTTATTATTCTAAATTATTTTTTTGTAAGTATTCTCCTCTGATTATTATCATATATTGGATAGTTCTCTTATATAAGTTTATGATTAAATGAAGAAAATTATGTAAACTCTGATCTAATGCAATGTAGTAGGGTTAATATTCAATTCTACATACATTTAAATAAAAAAATGTCGAGGTTTTTCGTAATTACTCTTAACTCTTTCCAAACTTAACTTTAATCCAAATTTTCTCACAATTATTTTTTTTTTCAAGTTTAAGCCAGTTAAATATGCAGATATCCCCCGACTCACGAACTAGTTTTCGTTCCAAAGAGTTGTTCGTAAGTCGGGGGAATTTTAAAAATTTCAAAATATATTTATCTTACCACACTTTATCATGGTTTTTACTTTTATAGAAATAGATTAAAATAAACAAAATACTTACTTACAAATGCTTTTCAATGTAGAAATCACAATTATTTAATGAAAAACGACAAAAGAAACTAATACAACAAAGCAGATACACCTTTCATCTTTCAAAAATATTATATTTTATTAAAGAAATTATCAATTTCTGTTTAGACAGTTATTAGACAGCAATTTAATGACTTCTATTTTTTAATTTATTTTATTTTTTACAATATATTTACAATATATTTACAATTATTTTACAATGTTTTATTATTTAGTGCTCCTATACCTCAGTTTCTGTGTATTACAACTAAGATTTTTTTAAGTGTTTTTTATTAGTTTATTTTGAAGTGTTCGTAATTTTTTAATTTCTTTACGTCTCTTTTTTTCTGATTTGATCCGGAAATTTATTGTACTCATGGACACATTTTACTAAAATGATACTGTTAAGGGTATTTGTCTTGTTTTCATATGGTAAATTATAATAATTTACACATTATCAAATATTTATACCACCAAAGAGTGGTTAAAAAATATTTCATCAGTCATTTATGTATCCATACTTCATTGATATACCGGATTTGAGTCGATTGCGCCAAATTTATATTTGCTAATGTAGACATTTGTCTACCATATGGTTTGACTTTTATAATTGGAATTTGTTTTAAATAAATATTTAAAATCTATATTACAATATGTGAATTATAACAGTTGATTAATTTTGTTATTTAAAGTTTGATGGGACCGGCAAAAAAATTCAACCGGGCCTCGAACTTATTGGATTCGGCCCTGTTCATTAATAGTCAATAAAATGTGTAAAAACATCTTTTATATTACTATTAAACAAACATTGTAGTAAAATTTATTGAATACTTGATTATAATTGACTTCAAATGAACTCTATATCATTTTGACAATAAGCTGTTTAATGTGTGCGCAAATTCTGTTTTTATATCCACATTCATATAAAATACAGTTTGCACAGTTCATTTCGATTCATTGAACTTTTTTTAATGATTTCTTTATTGGTTGATGTTTTTGAACTGAGCAAGCAGACAGCCTTTAAAATAAACAATTTGTAACATACATATCATTATATTCATTCAACAAGGATTTAATTTCTTCTTGATAAACGTT